AGCCCTGCTACGCGGGGCCCCGCCCCCGGAGTCGCCCCAACCCATCCCTACGCCAGGCCCCGCCCCGCCCACCGCGTCGCCGGCGTAGGTCCCACGAGCCCCACTCACCCGTCCGAGTTCCGCCTGCCGCCGCAGCTCCGAGTGCCGCTCCAACGCGCTCGCAAAGCCGCCTGGGCGAGTTCGAGGCTCCGGGGAATCGGAACTCTCGCTCCCGGAGCCACTCTGAGAGCCTGCGCCTCGAAAGGGCCGGGAGAAGACAAACACTCGCAGGAAACGGCTCTCGGCAGCCACGGCACGGGTCCAACACAGCGCCGCCATTACTCCTTCACCACCTCTGACCTTTGACTTCCGCGTCGCAAGCGCGCAGGTCACGGGGCGGAGCGACGAGAGGTCCGCCCACTGGTCCCAGGTGGTGGATTGCGTTTGGGCGTGGGCTAGTCGGTACTCCGGACGAGCGTGGGGTGGGAGAGACTTAAACAGAAATTGATGGGCTAAGGCCTTGGTGTTTGACTCGCAGGGATTTTACCCTCCTGGGCATGCTTTTCATCTCTAGCCTGCTGTAAATTCCAGTAATGAGACAGTTTCCCGCCCCCCGCCCAAGATGTCCGCGTGGCTCCTTCGCCTTGATTACACTATTCAGAATCAGAACCCCAAACACAACGCTTTATCTTGCTCCTGTCTTGTTCTCCCTTTTAGCACTTTCTAATATGCAATACAGGAGGCCTGGTCGCGCAGTGATGAGAGAGCTTGACTGCCAGCTGCTAGAAAAGCACCAGGGCTCCGGGGAAGAAAGATGTGGCAGTCTGCTTGCCTAAAGATTACAGATTTGGAGAACCTATGGGGTCGCTACGATTCGGAATCGGCGTGACGACAGTGGGTTCGGTGGTGGGTTTTTGTTTTGTTAATGTGTAATATGGGGGCAGGGGTGGAATTATCACCTTTTAATATCGGAGACCCAGGTTCAGTTTCCACCCGGTGCACCTCAGACACGGGCACCACCCATCTGTCAGTGGAGGGGGTGTTGCTCTGATGCTGAACAGGTTTCGGGAGCTTCTAGGCTAGACAGACTAGGAAGAAAAGCCTGGCAATCTGCTTCCAAAAGTCAGCCAACGAAAACCCTATGGATCAAAAACGGTCTGATGTGCAGATGATCATGGGGAAGGGACAGGACTGGGCAGTGTCTTGTTCCAAGCTCTGTGAGTCAGGATCCGACTCTTTGGCAGTTAAGGACGTGTGCAATCTAGTTAATCTTGTTTTGTATTTCGTAATTTGGTATTCTCTCCCAACCACTGTAAACTCCATGAGCGCCTGGCTGTTGGCTCTCTGGTGCCTGGCACACTACATTGTAGGGCTGAAATATTGTGAAAGCTTGGCTCCAAATTTGTCCTTCTTCGCCTCTTCTGTAGTAGGTCCTCCCACCAAACAAAAATAGTCACCGTTAGAGAACTACAATCTCTTCTAGGGAATTAAGAAATCTCAGAATGTGCCTACGTATGCACCGCCAGAGGTCCCCACCTTCCATCTTGATTTTTCTCCCTTTGTTCCCCCAGTGTCCTTTCCCAGCAGCTGCTCACCTTCAAAACCATTAACACCATCCTTAATAAAAGGTTTTCATATTAAGCTGTCCATCTTTCACTCAGACCTATCAGCAGTTATATATTAATCCTCTCTTAGTTTGGGGGAAGGTGGCTCGTAGCTTTCTGGTTCATTTACAGGTCCTCTAAGGGAATTTTTTCTATGACTGCAGTGTCTATTTTAATAATGCCTTTGGATTTTAAGTCTTGATGATGCTTTCCTATTACGGGCACAGTCAGACAACACACGAGAAGAACACTGGCCTCAGAATGGGGAATAACCATCACTGAAGGTGTATCTTCGCTAGCCAGCTGTATGGTGATCCTTACAAGATCGGTAGGGGCTTTAAGATAAATCCTACTCCAGGTGAATTCTCCCTCTTAGCACTTACTGTTTATTTCCTCGACCATTAATGAAGTCTTCCTGTGGCGGAAAGCCTGAAATTAAGATTCAGTATCAAGTGCTATTTTGACTTCTGGTAAAATCGAGAGGGCATCAAATGGCCTAACCACAGTTCCTCTTCCCCTCTACTCTTGCGGATAAGGCCACCTGGCCAAACCATCCCCTTACTATGGTAACCAGATACAGGGCCTACTTATCCGGAATAGTGGGCTTCAGTTCCCTGCCAGCCCATACAAAAAAAAAAAAACACCAAACCGTTGCTGTTGAGTCAATTCTGACATTGTGACAAGCCAAGCACTCCCCCCTCCAGGCACCAGGGCTCATCCCCCCCTCCTTGTTCCTACAAAGCTTGCCTCCCACAGCACTGCTGCTTCATTCTGTTCCAAAGTGCAACCCCCGTGTGGCCCTGCATGATATGTAGTGTCCGTCCCCAGGCTGTGAGTGTATGTGACTAATGAACTGCCCAGTCTCATCTGTCTGGTGTTGGGTGTCAGGTGCTCGGCTATCCCCATAATCCTGGGGAGGGAATCCCCTTTCTCACCAACTGGGTGAAGAGGAAGCAAAAAAACCCCATCTGTACAGCAACCCCAAGTGACAGAGTAGAACTGCCCCACAGGGTTTCCTTGGCTGTAACTTTATGGAAGTGGATCGCCAGGCCTTTTCTCCTGCAGAGCTGCTAGTGGGTTCGAACTGCCAACCTTTTGGTTAGCAGCCCAGTGCTTAACCATTGCACCACCAGAGCTCCTTATCCTGACCTTGAGGCAAGCCAATTTAATGTTTCAGACTTGCTTTCCTCACTCATAAAACCAAGCTATCCCCACTGCTAAATTTAAGGAAGTGCTCTGTCAACTTAGGCACATCAGTATCTACAAAACAAATGGGGTTACTAAGGTCCCAGCTCTAAAATTCAGTAGCTGTATTACATTCAGGTCATGCTTCACCCAGATGATAAATTCCTGGAGGACTGTGGCAACAGGCATTGTTGGACAAACCCTCTAGTTAACGTATTTGTTGGTGGGCTGTGTGCACTCACAGGATAAGTAGGATACATCCTCTTTAAGCTGTTTTACTTGAGGATTTGAGGTTAAACACTCAAACATATTAAACACTCATGTTTCTTAATAGAATGCAAACTCCTTCTGAACATAAGATAAAATATAAGTTTGTATCAACTGGCTTCAGGTAATGCCCGAGTTCTCTGGGAGAGCATCAGAAGCATCATGTGGTCTTAGGATTTCCTATTCTCAAATTAGACTGTAGGAAAAAACAAAACTCGTTGCCCTCGAGTAGATTCTGACTCATAGTGACCCTACAGAACAGAGAAGAACTGCCCCGTAGGGTTTCCAAGGAGCAGCTGGTGGATTCAAACTACCTTTTCTTTAGCAGCCGTAGTTCTTAACCACTGCGCCACCAGACTGTAGAGGGCTGAGCAAACCAGCAAGGGGGATGCCCTTGTCCTATGCCCTGGTCTACACAAATGGCAACGCAACAGTAACATCTGCTGGAATAGCTGTGTGTAAACATTGTTATGGCAACTTCCTTCTCGCTTTATTAAAAATGAAGCCCTCTTTTCTTTCTCTATAGCTTGAAAATTGTTAGTATGCTTTGCAAGATGATATTAGTAATGGTGGATGGTAAGGAAATGGTTGAAAATAGTTCAAGTCCTGGCTTCGTCTCTAGTGGCGGCAGCCTCATCTGTAAAATGGGGACACCACCACATCCCTGAGTTAAGAATTGAAGGAAATGTCAGGCACTTACCAAAAGCTCAATGGATAGTGGCTCCGTGACGCTGACCAGGAGGTAATTAGAAATTCACATGTGAAACCTTGGAAGAAGGGATAGAGCTAGGGAGATGCTGGCATCGCTCTAAAGGTAATTTCAGCCTTAGAAATGGGTATGACCATTAAAGAGGTTTTGTAGAAGAACATTTTAGGGCTTGGAGGAAAAGGATACTAAGAAATAGTCCAACTAGAAAATAAGAAGAGTATTAATCCTAGGAACCAAAGGGAAAACTTTAAAACTTGCTGAAATGGATAAAGTGAAAGACCGTATCCATTTAATATTCAACACAATCCAGTTGGCTTTTACTATGTGCTAGGAAAACCATTAAATTACAATACCCACACTATCAACCAACCTCCCCAAGTAGCATCACAATTTATACAAACGTTGGCAAGGACTTTACTGAAGTATGAACGCTAGCAGGTGATAGCCACATGGAGGGCCTGCCCTCTGGGGGCCTGCAAACCGAGAGTGGGCTCTGTGTAACTAAAAGCCTTTTGGTCCATTCTGTTTTCAAAGGGATTATAAATTTATATTCAGTCAAAACAATATGGAAGTGGTTGAATCTTAAGGTTTCTGGATTTACCTAAAAGTGATCATTGTTTTATATTAACTGTGACCATTAACATGGTCTCTGTAACTAACCCACTCAGAACTGGACAGGCAAGAAAACTAAGGGCGAATTAATGGCCAAATGTCTCCACCACGTAACGAAAGTCATCAAGGTTTGAAGAGCGATAAACACATGCAATCCTGACATACTGCCCACGGGCATCTGGTCTGGCATTTCTGCACCAGTCACTTAAATGTCTTGATTGCTAGCAGGTAGCTTTTTCAGTTTTGCTTGATGCATTGATTCAATATAGCTGTTCGTGGTCCTTTGCATATCCAGGATATGAAAGGTTTGGAGAGAATAATGTACCTACTTCTTTATTCAGCAGACAGGTAACATATACAAAAGAACTCATTCCCAAATTATAGAATTTTTATTGTTTTCAAATACTATACAAAAAAAAAAAAACAACCCAGACTGTGTGTGTAGCTTAACAGATCCAGAAATAATGAGCCCAATAAAACATCTTTTTTTCCTTCTATTTCAGTAGCTGCTCCTGAGTTGCTAAGATGATAATGCACTTAGTATTGTTCCCTTCCACTGACTGCTCTGGCCTTCCAAGCATGGGAACCCCTGCTTTACATCCCACACGCTCGATACACTCAGGAGATTCCTTTGTAAGAAAGGAACTTTTCAGAGAGATTTTTTCTTATTACACTTTTTCTTGAGTCCTTAAATATGTCAGATTTCACTCTCCAGTTTCTGTGTTTTCTTATGGTGCCAAACACTAAAAAGGGTGACCAAGACCCTATGTGATGGTCTTGGTAATTTGTTTACAATTTCTTAAGTGTCTGTGAATTCATAATATTGAACCTGCCACAAAAGTCATTTGGAATGTTTCTAAACCCATATGCTAATCTTTCTAAATTCTTCCTCACTCTACTTTTTACTACTTCTTTGAAGGGAAAGCGTTCTTTAAAATGGACCAAACCATCTCTAGCCCAAGTGTAGCTGCATCTCTCCTCTCCCAGCCATCCACAACACTCACCTAGACAGGCATCCTCATTCCCAGCCCCAGTTCTGGTTTGCTCTACACGGGCGGGAAGGAGATTTGAAGAGATTTCACTCAACTCAAGAAACCACCCTCTCACTCCGCTTTACTTTTTTGAAAAGACAGTAACAGGTCAGGACACCCAGGGGACAATGTGATGAAAAGACAACATTGGGATTAAAAAAAAAAGACTAGTTGGTAGAAAAAAAATGAAGTTATGTTGTCCTTACAATATTCTTATAAAAAGCCACATTCTACAGATCCACTCTTGAGACACTACTTTAATAACTTGGGCCTTAAAGCCTCTAGATGGGGGCACAGCAAGGGTACAGGGCACCCAGGGGCAATCTCTTAAATTTCACCCCCCGTCCCCCAATTTTAAGATGTATAGACATTGATGGTGGCGACTTGTCAGTAAAAAACGCCTTCCCCCTCTTGTCCAGCTGCCTCAGCCAGGCACCTTTACTGATGGCGCCTCCGAATGTCATTCCTCACCTAGTCTGGCGCCCCCTTGGATGTGCGCCCCCCTCTGGCGACCCCTCCTCACTACGCCTCTGCCTCTGCAAGGAAATTATTTAGAATATTAGTCTGATTTCATTAAGTAGTGACTTAAAGCTGATGGTTTAAAAAAAAAAAAATTGCCTTCTTTTTTAGCACAGACACCAGTTGATTCTTTAATGCAACAAGCTATTTCCAGACCACTGGTCTCATAATACATATTGAGACCTACACTACTGATACACAGAATTTATTAAGCTTTTTACATGAAATAGAGCACAGTTTCAGTTGCATCTAAGGTGCTAACAAAGCTCTAGCGATCACGAATGGCAGTGTTATAACAATCAACACTGGCTTTTCCAAATTTGGTTTTCGTAAGATAAATTGACCCTGAAGTAAACCTAATCATGCTTTTAAAAAACGGTTCTAGATCACTCCAAGCTTGGCAATTAATATTTGGCATAAACAATAATAAAACAATCACAACTTGATAAATAATAAATACAACATCGCAGGCCACTAGCACGTCAGACAGGCGGTGGTGATCAGTACCTTGGTCTCCAGGCAGATACGCCCAGACGCTTTGATTCATTCAGCCCTGATGCTCAGTTTTCAAGGTAGGGGGCAATGTCTACTATAACATTTTATAACTTCTAACACACTGAACACAAGTAAGTAGAAAGAAAGTGATGAGTTGGGTTTGTTTTTTTTTTTTTTAATGCATTACATCCTCTGGAGTTATCACCAACCCCTTAGTAGAAAAAAATTTCAAGTTATATTAGTTGTATAACTTTGTGTGCTTCTTACGGCAAATGGTGCTGAATGAATTCAATGAAGACAGCAACGCTTTCCCTCGTGTGACAGATTTAAACTAAAATTTCAGGCTTTTGAATTAAACATTTGAAGAGAGTGTTCATATTTCAACTTATGGACAATATACTTGACTCAGAATATTATCTTGTGAATTTGCCTCTGAAGTTAACATTTTACTTGATGAAGAATAAATGGATAAAAGTGGCATAATAACCAGTACACTGAAATGCTCTGCTGTCATTTGAGGAGAAACAAAACATAAGGTTCAACTCTCAAGACGCCTAGTATTTTGAATTACTGTACATATTATCACAAAACTATAGCAATTTGGATGTAGAGCTGATTTATCTAATCCAGTGTATTCATAATATTTAGAAGATATGTACCTTATTCAAAAAGGGTTTATTCAATTTTTTTTTTTTTTTTGTAGCTGGTAGTCTTCCCTTGGTGGTAAAGAATATTATAACAAAACTTTTCATAACCATAATTCAGAAAAAAATTAAAAGAACAATTTTAGTTAGGAATCAAATATACAGAGATTCAAAGAGGAGGAAAAAAATCTTAAAGAAGACAAAGATCAAACTGACATCTGGATCCAGAGTAACTTTGTAAAGCAGGAAGAACTAGAAGAGCCTGGGAGCTTCTTAGATCATTCTAGCAAGTATTCCCAGGTACTATGAGTGTTTTGATAATGGTGTCTTAATAAAGGGCTTAAGATGCACATTAAAGGGTGTTTTCCAGGAATAGAGGTGAAGATATTTAATTTTTTTTTAACCTGCAAACTATTCTGTCAAAGGAATATCTAAAGCTAAAGAAAAGCACATCCGGTAGAAATGCACGGCAATGGACGTCGACAGGATGTGCTTGGATCCCGCTTGCAGCATCTGGCAGTGGAAGCAGAAGGAGGGCAGAAATCTCACGGGTTCTCCGGCGTCTGCTCTGTACGAGGCTCCGTAGTGGCAGCACTAGCGTTTGCAGTTGAGTTCAGGACGTCTCCAAAATCCCCGCCAGCAGGCTTGGTGCCCCCTACTTTGGACTTAAAAAAAAATTTCAAACAGGAGAAGACATCATGAAATGTAAATTTAGCTGACTCTGCATAAAGTAGCCCTAATTTACTCTAAAGAACAAATATATCAGGAATCAAAGAGCTCGTGATTATTACATATGTATGTATGGGATTTAGTACTGTTGTTCTATTCAGTGTGGTTTAAATAACAAACTGCAGTCTTCTCTGCTGAAATACTCAAATTGATACATTCCACTCTACACCTTTGTTTCCCCTATCTGCTAACTGTTCTTCATTGGAAATTTTGTCTAAAGAACTTTGTAAGGCTTATTATTTTAAAATAACTATTGACTCTCTTTATATCTGGTTAACCCTTTATGTTGCATATGTTGCATCAAATTGTTCATTCAGTTATACTCACTCAGAAATATCATTAAGTACAATAAGAAAAAGAGATATATATATTCTTTCCCAGTTACACTGTAAGCTTCCTAACCCTTTGTTCAAGTGTGGTCCTAGGACCTACAGAATCAACATTACCTGGGAGCTGGTCAGAAGTACACTCTCAGGCACCCCACCCACCACCCCGTGCCTACAGAATTGAAGTCTACGTGTCAACAAGATCCCCAGGTGATTCACATACATGTTAAAAGTCTGGAAGCACTACTCCTGTGTCTCTGACTTGAAATGTCTGTAAATATGTTTGAATAAATACATCTGCCCTCCACTTGTACAGCAGTTTATGCTTTTCAAAACCCTTACACGTAACGTCACTTCATCCTTATCAATCCAATCTATATTCTCTCACCGTATTACATCTCATGACTGACCAACAGGACAGCTAGCTGACATCAGGAAGCTAGTCAATAACCAAGAGTGCAAGAAGCTCAGAGTGGGTCTTGAACTTGGACTTTTTTAGTTCAACTTTAATAACTGAATAGCCAGAGACCGGTTAACACCTGGAAACTAGGTGGAATTTTCTCTCTCATTCTTTTTGGTCTCCCATTAAAAACCAAACCCAACCCACTGCTGTCAAGTCGATACCGACTCATAGTGACCCTATAGGACAGAGTAGAACTGCCCCATAGGGTTTCCAAGGAGCATCTGGTAGATTTGAACTGCTGACCTTTTAGTTAGCAGCTGTATCTCTTAACCACTGCACCACCAGGGTTTCCAAAAACCAAGCAGTACCTGAGAATTGTTTGAGAAGTTTGCATAACTTGTATCCATTATAGTTATTAAATTTATTAAAACACATTCCTTAACTATAAGGAAATGTTAAGAATCCTTGCAACTGAACATCTCCACAACTGAAGAACTCCTTACAACTGGCCCTTCTCTATTCTTTATTGAACTTTAAATGGCATTAAAAATAAAACAAAAACTCAAACCCGCTGCCGTCAGGTCGATTCCGACTCATAATGACCTTACAGGACACAGCAGAACTGCCCACAGGGTTTCCAAGGAGTGGCTGGTGGCTCTGAACTGCCAACCTTTTGGTTAGCAGCTGTAACTCTTAACCACTGTGCCACCACCAAATTGCCCAAGACAAACTCCTGGGAGTTGTCCTTGATCCTTCTTGTTCCACATCTAATCAATCACTAGCTTTTATTTTTCTGTCACTTGTAACCTCTAAAGATGTCCAGTCTTTGTCCCACTTGCACTGCTTTAGTTCACTCCACCATCATTCTTGGCCTGGATCACCATGACCTCCAATTAGTGTCCCTGCCTCAGTCTTTGTCTTCCACCTGCAGGGCAGCCAGTGATGTTCCTAAACTGCACACCAGGATGCACCACTTGGGTTGTGTAAGATCCTTCAACAGCTTCCCACTGCCCTAACTCTAAATTCTTTAATGTTGCCTGCCCTCCTCTCTGCCTCTGTCTCCTGCTCCATATCTTCTAGCCACAGTGAACTTCCCAATATTCCTCAAAAGGGCCCCAAGGCTTCAAACATTCCCCTCAACCTAAAGGCTTCAATATATATTATCACATCCTCAAAGGCCTTCCCTGACCTTCCTCCTGTCAACCTAGTCGGGTTCCTGCGATGTGTCTTCATTGTACCCTAGACTTCCCGCATCACTTTGTTTTCACGGGCCATTTAATTGTCTACACATCTTGAAGAAACGGTCTGTGTCTCTCTTGCTCACCACAGTATCTCCAGTACCAAATGCTCATTGCTGGCAGACGGCAGATGGTCAATAATCACAGATAAATGAATCAATCCAAAATCTAGGAGACCTGGTGTTTAACTGAACATAAATATAATTTATCTAATTTTCATATCCCAAAATACAACTGTATTTTGCAGTTTCCTGAGGATACTTTTTAAATGGTGCATATATTATACAGTATTCAGTATATTTATTTAATGCACTCTACATTTTAAAAATTACATATTTATCTGAATGATGCCTAGTCAAGCAGCTTTCACAATTTATAGTCTAACTACACTCCGGAGGAACATGGGTAATAAATGACCTAGAAGTTTCTCCTTATCCTTACTGTCAAGCATAAGTTGCTATGGTTTTCCAATTAGCCATTCCAAAACTAACGCTTAGGGTAGATTTCAAGGAGATGCTATGATAGTCCTAACTATATTGAGAATGGAGTTACTATAAGCCCGTTTCCTGCAACGTGCAGCTTGTTCTCCAATATATGACTCAGCGTTAAAAAGAAAAAAGTACGTCTCTTGTACTGACCTAGAAGAATGACTCTGATATATTTTTTACTCATCAAATACGTTATTGAGTGGCTACACCACGCTAAGGGCTGTTCCCGGCTCTTGAGCTGTATCAGTGAGCATGAGAACAGACCCCTGCATTCATGAGTTCTAGTGGAGGTTGAATGAACAGGTTATAGGACTGTGCGTACAGTAGGAATCCTTTTCGCAAAACATTTACACATTTATGTAGACGCAGAAAACGTGTGCATTAATGTTTGGAACGTGCAAGAAACAAGGTCGCGATCACTGCACTTTGTTGCGTTTTCTTGCAGTAATCGTACCGACTTCTGTAATTTAAAAAGGATGCATTTAACACTAAGTAACTCGGTTATAGTCCTGAAAGACTTAATCTAAAGATTTGTTTTAAGCTGATTTATATAAAAATTTAAGATGTTAGTTCTAACCCTTAAAATATATCCACTGTAATTATCAAAGTTAGTCTAGAAAGAAATGAGCATATGGGCTTCCATTCCCCAAGGATTTCAGTACATCACTGGAGACATTACACAGCATCAACCACGGCCTAGTGCAAATTCCGTAGAGGTCAGCGCTGGATAGGAACTAGATACCCTTCAGGTCGCCTGCGGTCCTGAGAGATGATGATTTTGTAGTTTTGAGTATCATCTTGCAGATAATACAATTTACAAATTAATGAAACCAATAATTACGGGCAATCATTCCCCTTCATTGAAACCAAAGAAATAAAAAAAATACTAAAGCAGTGAATCTTCAATGATCATCACTGTGGCATTATTTATAATAATTAAAATTTCCAATGACTGAGGCGTAAACAAACAATATCCGTTATAAGGCATATACGGCAGCCATTAAACGTAATATTGAAGAAGAATCTTCAATGATCTGGAGAAGCTGTCATGATGTATGGTTAATTCTTTTATAAAGCATAACAGTATAATCCCACTACATACATCTGTCTTTGGATGGTAGGACAAGTTTTCTTTTTTTAAATGTTTTGTGCTTTTCTATAATGTTTTTAATTTTCTACAATATTAGATTTTGTCCCATTATGAAAATATTTGACATGAATAAGGCAAAACTTTTCAAGCACTCTTGCTTTTTAAATTGTACATTCCTCTCACACTCAGAATGCTGACATGCTACAACACACTCAATAAATATTGATTAAAAGAGTACATATCACTTTAAATGTCCGCTAATAACTTAATGAGTAGAGTTCTTAAAGTTCTTTAAATATTTTTAGAAAGAAGTACTAATGTAAATGATTTACCCACACCAAAGAAAATTAAGACACCAGGCAAGATATCCCAAAAACCCTGTTCATCTCTCTACTTGCCTTTAAGTTTTCAACCTTTTCTTCAAATGATTTGAAAGTTGGGGAGTTTCTACAGAGAGAAAATAAAAACAAATAGTAAAATTACAAACACTGAAAAAAAACTCAACAATTTTGAAAACATCATTAGTTGACTCTATTCCCTTTTTGCCAAATACGAGGAGGGTAATATTTGAGTCCATTATTCTCAATCAGCAAAAGAACAGATACACTGTGTTTCTACACAAATAATGTGCTGTGTTATAAATCTGTTTGCCAGCCATGCCCTCCCTGTCCTCCTAAGTGTGTATGCTGTTTGTTTACAGCAACATATAAAAAAATTAGCACAGTGCTTACACCAATACCTGGGAGGGGCACAGTTGGCAAAAAATTGGATAACGTGCACATTATTTGCCTAAAAATATGGTACTTATTTTATCTAAATACACGATGAAGATACACATGTCAAGATAAACTTGAGTCACTTAAAGAAAATTCGGGGGAAAGAAAAGATTTCCTCTGACAAAGGTTTCACGCTCCCATCCTATACCACGTGTTCAGGTACATACACAGATAATGTCCACTGTTACTTAAGAGTATCAGTATCTGACTTAACACTTCTACCATTTCACTTTTGATTCCATGAACAAAGCCAGTCTTAGACACAGTCACACACATATGTGAGAAGAAGGGAACAAAATCAGATAAAATGTCAGTTCTGTCACTTCCACAACCAACGTGTTACGATACCAAAAAATGTCACCATCAGATCAATTTAATTTTGGTTAAGCTGCTGTGCTCTAGAAGTCATGTTGACAGTCACTGTTACCTGACACAGGATTCTTACAGGAACCCTCAGCGCCCAACCAGGAGACGCAGACTGGATGGGGTTTCACAAACAGGGATCCCTGTTCTCAGGGAGCAGCACAATAAACAGGGAACAAGGGGCCAAAAAGAAGAGCGGAGAGACCTGGCGTTGCCCACGTGGCCCAGTGGCCTCCTGACAGCCCGGCCCATACAGTTACGTTGACCCATGTTCCCTAAGGACAATCACAGTGTCTTCGTCTCTTACATGCAGGCTCCCTACGCTTTACCTATACTCTTCCCGACTCTGAGTATCCCTCCTACTACCCAGATGAAAAAGACAAAGAAGCAACAAGGCTATTCTCCTTTCTGCTGCGGTGCTGAGTGGAACAGTTAAAGCCAGCGGTTCTCAAAATGTGGTGCCCAGACCAGTGGCATCAGCATCTCTCAGGGACTTGTTAGATGCAGAGGCTCAGGTCCCAGACCAAGCCCACAGAACCCGGAACTCCAGGCTGGGGCCCAGCCAGCAGGTTTTACCAAGCCTCCACGTAATTCTGATGTACACTGAAGTTTAAGCTAAGCATAGATTGCCCAAAATCTTCTGCCTCTCTAGACAGGTCAGGTGAGGTCATGCTATATGCCACTGTTTCCTGATGAAAGAGGATAGCAGAATTAAAGCAGATGGCTTCAAAGGTCACACGAGGATAAAGAAGTAAAAATGGGGAGTGTGCAAAAAAGCGCGTAATCAAAGCACGTGGAGACAGAGGTGGGGAGACATCTATATCCATGAAAAGAGAATGTTTATTAGATCAGCAGTGTTCACTTTTTCAATTAAACAGATTTCTGATATGAAGGAATTTAATAGGTTTACAAAATAAAACAGAAATAATAATTCTTTTACACACACACACACACACACACACACACGGCACCCATCCCAACATCATAGGAAAAGCAACTGAAAATAGATACAATGTTAAACACACAGCTTGTTTAAAGTAGAATTCTAGACAACAGGAAAGTGTAAGACCCATTACATTATGTAAAAATATACTTTACCTCATAGCAGGCATGCTAATTGAATGCTGAATGGAGCGTATACTAAGAGGCAGCATTAAAAGAGACAGAAATGAAGTTAGTACAGTGGTGAATAGGCGTTATAAAGGTAAACAACACTTAGCTTTACAGAAGCTTTATTCTTTTGGCATCATGAAGAATTACCTATTTTTTGAGGTGGACGGGGTCAAAGTTATTCCAACATAATTTGATTCACGAGCCAATATTAATATAATCCCAGTAGTTACTACAGCTAATCATACAATCTTGCATTTTTATAGCACCTTGAAAACTGTAAAGTGCTTTCAGCAGGACTGGAAGACATACAGAATCAAGGCTCAGGAGTTAAATGATTCACCCAAGGTCACAAAGCTAGTGAAAAGCAGAAGCAAGAACGGAACCCTGGGTCTTCAGAACTCCTAGGCAGTGTTCATCACCTCCCCTCAAAAATGAAGCACACGCATTTAGGTGCACACAGGTACACACACGGAAGCCCACACGTATACACACACAAAAGTGAGGTCAGCGAAGGGGTCCTGCAGCCGTCTTTCTCCCAGATATTTGTTCCCAGGCCAAAATGGGAAGGTTTCAAAATAAGTCAGCTATTTGACACCTCTATATGGTTTTAAAATCATGTATCATTACTGCATAGGGGTACCAGTTTTCTAACAAGAGATACTTGTACTCAATCCCAATGAAACGAAATGTTCTTAAAAGCCATTCAAATAAAGCATGTTGAACTCTTCTGGACGTGTTACATTTTACAATTTAAAAAAAGTTTAAAAATATACCCACTGAAGAGAGAATGAAATCAGTGAAATTAATACAGAAAGATACAAAGCCAAGGTCTCTCTACTTTTGAGGAAGCCATTTTAGTAGGAAGAACAAGGAGCACTTATCAGTTTCAAGTCCATCCATAGTTGTTTGATCCTCTCCACAATCCGTATTTAAATAAATTCAATTTTGTTGATGACTGGCCAGTAATCTAAGTATAGGACAGCTGTTCTTTCATTTCTGGATTCTCTATGGAAGGTTACACAAAGCTTCAGCTTTCCTCGGCTCACACATCATCTCCAATTTCATTCAAGTTTAAATATGGAAAACTTCAAAACCAGAAAACCATGTTGCTACTGGACCAGAATCATCTCTAACTGATATGTTTTAAGAAATAGTCAGCATCTATTAAAACAATTTCTGTTAAAATTCTCTCCCACTTGATTTCTAACCCTCAAATATATTAATCTACAAGCAAAGTAGGAATGTAAATCTGGGTTTCTCAAAAACTCCGGAGAAAAATTCAAAGGGGGCAACCTAAATCCCACTCAAACTCAGTAATTAGCTTTCAATCTCACGCTTACATTTACTCTTACTTTGAAAAAGTTATCCTTTTAAAAAGCTGAACTGATTTTTTTAAAAGTTTCCTCATTTCTTACACAGTTATTTGATCTTCCTATCCCGAATAATAAAGGAGAAGGAGGAAGGAAAAGGTAGGAAGAAGCGTGAGGAGGAGGAGGGGAAGAAGAAGAGCTGATGACTGACATGTATTCAATGCTTACCATGGGCCACGCGTGCTTAAAAGAGCTACCTATGTAGTATTTCATTCGGCCCTTACAACAATTGCTTAAGGTAGGTTATGAATCAAAGTAACTTCTAATGTTTAACTGTTACTGTTATTATTAGGATGTCTTTAACTGAACCTATTTCATACTAGCCTATATTCTCTCAACACTTTCAAATTCAGCCAGTCGTTATTTTGGTTGTTAACAAGTCCATCCCCACAGTCTCGAACACTGCTTGGCGCAGAGTTGGCATTCAGTAAATACTTTTGAATGAAAGAAGGAATGGATAAACAACTTCGCTAAGTAAGATTAGGAAGCATGGGCATGAAAAGTAGAAAAGTTCATTAGAGCTGTTAAGTTCTAATCGAAAGGTATACACTCTCTGGCTGACAGATGATTTCTTTTCCTATTAAGCGGTAGAAATTTTCAGCAAAAAGGAATTACCTGGCTGGAATGGCTTTAAACAAATAAAAAATATCCAGAGTTCTACATGAAGAAACATACATTTAAAGAGGTAGAATTTCCTTTGGAAATAAAGGCAAAGTTAATTAGCACTTCCTCTTAAATACATCAAAAATATCAGACTAATGAGATTACTACTAGAGTATGATAGTAATAACGCCGTAATTTATGTGTGTTTAACACTGGCACCAATTGACATGAGAAACCTCTTTTAAAGGTTCTCTCAAATTTTAAAGACGTGACTCAGCGGTTTACCATATAACGGGTAGAAAATCAGCACCAAGGAGAGGGGTGGAAATAAACAAACCACGGGGGGGGGGGGGGGGAGGAAGGCTACCTGACTCTCCCTCGGAGGACTTCCAGGTCGGCCCCACATCCCTCTGGCCCTCAGCCTTGCTGTCTCAGACACCCAGTTCTCAGGGTACCAAGAACAGATCGCTTTCTCCCTCTCCAAGACATACAGCAAATATTTAAATCTCAAGTGCTAATTTATTAACTGGCAATGCAAAATAAAAATTGCTGCTAAGTCTTTCAGTGGTGAAGTCACTTCCGAGGTTCACTGTTCAGCCGGGGAATGGACAGCCCCATAAAACCAAATGGGACTAATGAGGCACAGCAGTCCAGGGACAAGGACTAGAAGGCAGAAGGGGACAGGGAAGCTGGTGATAGGGAACCCAAGGCTGAGTAAGGATAGTGTTGATGTGTTGTGAGGTTGTTAGCCATTGTCATAGGGCTACATGTGTACTGTTTAATGAGAAAGTATTTTATTCTGTAAACCTTCATCTAAAGTGAGAATAGCAGCACAATTGGAAGAGCATAGTTGATGTCACTGAACTGTGCATGTAGGAATTTTTTAAATGGTGTATCTTTGGCTATGTATATTTTCACCAAAAAAAAAAAGGTCAAGAAGGGAGAAGGTTGACATGTCCTGGCATTGTTAACCAATGTCATATAACCATATGTGTACTACTGTTTCATGAGAAACTATTTGTTCTGTAAGCCTTTACCTGAAGTACAACAAAAAAAGTTTTTAAAAATTAAAAAAAAAAAAAAATCGTTGCTAAGTCTGACAAATTCATGTTGGCAAAACTAGTACATTTTCTCCTTCTATAACCATAGTTACATCAGAGAGTGAAACCACTGTCCTAAGTTTGCTGGGTGAAGCATGGAGTTGGAACAAAGGGTAGGTAGCAGGATTAGCCAAAGACGTCACAGCGCCTGGCAAAGAAACCTCACGGTCCATCTCCATGGGAGGAAAGCCCTTGCTTCTGGGGTTGGAACACTCCGAGTCTCCTGTCCAAGGTCCCTCTCCTTCAACAGAGCTTGGGGGAACACTGCCAGTTAACTGTTGTTGTGACTCACGTTACTTAAAAGACATGTTTTTTTCTTTATATATGTGAACACATTAAGTCAAGTTACAGTCAGGGCTTGTAGGTATAGAATTTTGTTTAAAGTGACTTTGTCCAACTCTTTGGTCTGTAAGAATGATATAGTTTTACTTCCAAAAGGTAATCTTATTTCTCTCATTTCTAAGTTTTAATCAAAAGCATTACTTTAGACTCCACGTACTGATATATTACAAGCAGGACTGAAAATTATATATATACATATATATGTGTGTGTGTGAGTGTCTGTGTATTTTTTATATATACATATAGTCTTAATAACACTTTTAAATGAAACGAAAAAAGGGACCTGTGCAAGGAACTAGAAAAGAGCCAACCATTTGCTTCTGATGAATTAAGAAGACAGTACAGACTGAACCAAACCTATGTACATTTACTTAATCTTTTTCAACATACAGAAAAAGAATAGTGATACATACTGATTAAACATATCAATCCTTAACAGCCCTTCAAAACTAGTTGCCATCATGTCAACTCTGACTTATGGCAACCCCATGTATGCTGGAGTAGAACTGTGCTCCACAGGGTTTTCAATGGCTAATTGTTCTAAAGTAGATTGCCAGGACTTTCTTCTGAGATGCCTCTGGGTGGACTCCAACCTCCAGCCTTTTGGTTAGCAGCTGAGCACATTAACTCTATACACCACCCAGGGTCTCCTAACAGCCTTTCAAAAACCCAAAACCAAACCCACTGCCGTCGAGTTGATTCCGACTCACAGTGACCCTATAGGACAGAGTAGAACTGTGCCACAGGGTTTCCAAGGCTGTAATCTTTATGGAAGCAGATTGCCACATCTTTCTACCATGGAGTGGCTGATGGTGGGTTTGAACCAACCACCTTTCGGTTAGCAGCTGAGCGCTGAACCACTGCATCACTAAGGTTTCTTCTAACAGCCTTTACATAGCAAATACTTTTGTATTTTATATTTATTTATATGCTACCCTTAACATTTTTAAAACTAAGTATGGTCAAGGTTCTTCCATTCTTAACTCCTCCCAAGTTCTCACTTCCTTCGCCCACTCCACTCAAAGATTTTAAGCTCTAGGAGAACAAGAACTATGCCCGGTTCAATGTTACATTCTTAATACCTGCCCACAGTAGGCACTCCAAAGTCAGCAGCATGGATTATGGGACTGAATACAGATCTACCTAATTTACTGCTTATTCACAAACTCATGTAACTTAAGACAAAATTGTCTTAGGAGTTGCCTACAGTACTTAGGACATTTTAAATTAACACTGAAGACACAGAATCACCTTCACAAAGAATTTTACTTCCCTTCATTGATAACTTGATTTTTTTTAAGGCACAATTTTAGATTTAAATAGTTCAACATTTAGAGTTTATGTACGCCTATGATTTCCTTTGACTTCTTGGGCTAAGTGTCATTAAGGCAGAAGGGCCTCAGCTATAAGCATCTGCTTGCTGACTTAAGAAGGCAAACAGGCAGGCCCATAGCAAGTGAATGTTTGAGAATATGATCTGCATTATTAGCAACAGAGATGAAGACGACTATACGATCCTTCCTGCTTCTACTGTCAAGACCCTCCTCCACCTTCCTGCCCTCCAACAACTAACAGGACAAATGGAGGGAGGGTCTTCACGGGAGAGAGGAGAGGTCGCTCACAACACAGAGTTACCATCTATCAGGCGTGATTTTGGCTGACATCTTTTCAATGTGCTTTCCTTTCTGGCCTAGCAGACTTTATTTTTCCTTTTGAAAACAATGAATATTCTTTGCATGTATAGTTAAAAAATACAGAATATTAGAAACCACAAGCAAGTCAGACAAGGACTAACCAAGGCAGAGTAGCCTGGTGAGACCGCAGCCTAACAGCACATTGCACTGCAGTCACAGGAGCCAGGGGAGGGAAAACACCAACGCCCTGAAAAATGCACTAGAGGAAGAAAAGCATCGAAAACAAACAAAGTCAGACATAAAAAGGGAGGAATTCCGCATGCCACGGTAAAGCTGCGTCTTTTTACAAAAAAGAACAAAGTAGAAAAGACCCAGCAAAATCAATTCCCTATCCCTTGAGCCACAGCATCCAATTCTTCTTTTAATTTCTCCATTACCCATGGTATACCAAGAAATCCTCCCCTGAAATTAGAAAAGCACTACAGAGAAAGATACTCCAAATGCAAGAAAACCATGTAACGGGCAAGCACAACCATCCAACATGGCGAAATAAGCTGATCTTGGCACACTGGTCTTACAGGACCGCTGAACAGCAGGGACAGGTCAAACTCTCCTTACCTAAAGGAATGTGAAAACGCCTGCAATCTGCAAGAAGCCAGAGTAAGTATTAAAAAAGAAAGGAAGTTCTGGTCAACCTCAAACAATGACATAACCTACTTTTTAAAACCTGTATAAGGTCTTAATTGGAATCTAAAGTGTTACACAATTCTGTTGGCATAAAAAAGAAGTCAGAGCACCTAACAGATGTATAGATAATTGTCCAAAGGTTCAAGAAAGCTATGTTTGCTGCATTATGCTTAGAATGATAATAGTTAAAATACAATGAACGGATCGTTTAGTCCTTTTGGCACAGCAGAGTACATATAATACATTGGTAGACTGAACCTATTCAACCAACAAAATTCTGGTTGTTCCCCACAAAGGAAAAGCACGAAGTCATGCAACCTGAGGTTTGTTTAAACACACACACACACACACACACACACAAATCCTGCATGCCCACAGAAGCGCAGCTGATTTCAACCACATCTGTCATTTTCAGCGCTACTCGAATCCACGCTGCGGGGCGGGGAGGCATGAAAGCACTGTGAAGTGGTTTTATCAAAATGGCAAGGAAAATGTTGCGGTCTAATCTAAAACACAAATGCAAAATAAAAAGCAACTGCTCACGATCAAGATTTAGGCCCGAGCATGAGAGTGACACGGTTTACAGATAAGTGCAAATCAGTGCACAAACGAGCATGTTGCACTCACACCACGGGATAAACATGTAACATACGGAAGTGAAGCCACGTCTCGATCCAAGTGTGCACTTGAACGGGCCTATACTCAACTCCAGCGAGACACCAGGCTCGGCCCACAAGCCCAAGTCTGCACCACGAGAGATACACCTACTCTGTCTGACCGAGAAGGAACAAACATACACAAAAGTTCACAACCAGAATTTTTCAATGACCTTAAGTGCATCCATAGGAAGATCATTCTGCAGTTCGAGCGCTAGGCCCAGAAGAATTCTGGCAAGCATCTCATGTGCTGGGCTGAAGGAGCGCCCCCCTCACCCCAGCAGAGGAGAGTCAGGCCTCATTCAGATCCAAAGTCAAGAAACAAATGCAGCCACAATCATGTGTTTTCATTTGCCTCAGCTACTTAACGAGCAGAGAAAAATGAAGACATACTTTACATCTTCCAGCTTTTTAGTGATCACTGATCCAACAGATGAAAAAGCAGCTGACGCCTTCTGTCCAGCTTGAGACAAGGTTTCCGACGTCTTCTTGTATCTGTATTAAATCATGAAAGAGCAGAGAAAGAGACATCAGCCAAAAAGAACAGCCATTCTTTCAAATGCAGTGGTGACCACCTGCTCAAGAACTCTCAAAAAAAAAAAAAAACACTTAAAATCCTTCACAGAATCTCATCCTTAATCATAATTCCAGGCAACATCTTCTGCAGTGCCCCGGGACAGCCAGAAAGGCTAACGCCAAAAAAAGCCAGGGAAGGGACTAAAAATAGTCACAGAGCAAAGATGAAAACGAGCTACAGTCTGAAATAAATTATACCTCTTGCCCCTCCTTCCTTTTCCAAGCAAAAATGAAATCAGATTCTTCAGATGCCTTTTACAACTTCATCCCCTAAAAGGGGGCCAGAAATAAGCAGCAGCCCGGGAGAGGCAGGGCTCACATGTATTTTATGGTCCAAATAAATGTTACGGACATAAAGAATTGTTTTTAATTTCGCACATCTGCAGAGCTACCGAATAAGGCGCTGAGCTCTCCACAGAGGATGTAAAAGGCACAGTCCTGACAGCGACTCCAGTGTAACATCTGCCGTAACACAGAGGTACAATTTACCACCTCCCTCTTCCCATCTACCTGGGGATTAGAGAAGGGAAAGAAAAGAAGAAAAAAAAAAAACAAGCATACGGTACCTATCAAAGAGGTTAAAATCCCCACATTCTAGAAACACACGCTCAGGCAATTTTACTTACCTGTCAACAGCAGATACTACAAGCAAACATAGTTGATGGTGATACAGTCAAAGAATAGTTTTCCCACTGCCAACTTATACAGGGGGAAAACGGACCAAAAGGAGCCAGCACCCTAGTCCTGCCGTTTCAGAAATGCAGTCTGCCTCACTGCTGATGAAAAAGCCACCACTGAGCACACCAGCTCAGCAGACGGGAATGACTACAGAAGACAAAGAACACAGTTGGACAGAAGCTTGCTCCTTTTGCTGGGAAACAAAACTGCTGCTAATAATGCCATATCACAATCCGTGTGATCAAAACACAAAGGTTAAGGAGTTGGCCTCTGCCGCGACTGGGAAAAGAGAATCTTATGGTTCGTATGCTGTTGCTGCCGTCGGTGTTAGGTGCGGTCGAGTTGTTTGTCAACTCCTAGTGACCCCGTGTGACAGAGAAGAACTGCCCCGTAAGGTTTTCTAGGCTGTGATCTTTACAGGAGCAGATTGTGAGGTCTCTTCTCCCGTGGAGCCACCGGGTGAGTTCAAAACGCCAACCTTTCCATGAGCAGCTGAGTGGTTAACCGTTGAGCAACCAGGGCTCCTTCACGGTTTGTAAGAGCAGGGTTTAAAAAAAACAAACAAAAAAACCTGGCACTGTAGTCAGCTAGACTCGAGCTTAAATCCAGATTCCACATTTTGAGTCAAAACTCATCTTACTTGAGCCTGTTTCCTTCTCTAGGGCTCTCTTACCACCCACCCTCCAGGGTTATTCTGAGGACTATGGGACAACAATGCACACATTTAGCAAGTCACTATGTAGCATTTCTGGAATTTAAATTTTATTTAACTACCAGGAGACTTGTTTTCTTTCTATTCCCCAGAATGGTCTAGAATGCTGAAGTGAGAAAAGAGTCAAATACACTTGGAAATGGGGAAGAATGTTCCCCGTGTCATCCAAAGAAAAGCTACGGATGCATCATCAGCCATTCCTAGTCCCCTCCACAGCCAAAAGGGGTAAAAGCGTCCTTTAACACTCTCTAGAAAAATGTACGATCAAATGAACATACGCGGATGTTGCTGTCACGTCCTGCCACCCTTTGGAAATGTTCTGCTTTATTTCCTGTAGTGAACTGATTCCAAGTTTCCGCTTGATCTCTGCTAGATGCTTCTCTTTTGCTGCTAATACTTGAGACAGAGTCTGGATTTCCTCTTCAACCTACGCGGAAGGGGGTTCGGGTAGAAATACAGCAGGAGTCATTCAATAAGTTATTATCAGTGCAAAACTGTACTCCAAATTCTAGACTCATTTGTTTGTTCATTTTGATTCCTTTACCTGTTTCACTTTAAAACAACACACGGTAACACCTGCCAAAGCCAGGACCTGTGTAAGGCAGAAACCTGTCAGAGAAGGAAAACTCACATATTTTCCACTAATAGAGGGCCACAGAAAAGCAGTATGACCGTACCCTGTTCAAAGACGGGAAACTGGCCAAGTCTCAGAAAAACAAGGCAGTCCTGTTGAGTTCCGGCTCTCACAGATTTCACTGTCTAATGTTATTAAGGAAGCTGGTCCCCGGTGTATCTGTTCTATAGAGATTCTTTTCTCTTGCACGGCACCTCTTTATATCCCCATCCTGAGGTGTCCTCAGCCTTCTCGCTTCTCCCTATCCTTCTTTACCCAGCTATCTCGTGGAGTCTTCGGGCTGTATGTCTCTCCAAAGACAATATTCAAATTACTCCAGCAGTCTCTCTCCTGACTTCTGGGCCTGTAGTTTCCACTGGACATTTCTACTTGAATGCCCATAAAAATTCTCATTCGTCTACTAAATCAAACTACTCTCCTTCCCCACCAAAACAGGCACAACCAAGCCAAACCCAAATCCACTTTCTTCCTATTTCCACGTGAGTTTATACTGGATATGTCAGTTCTAGTGCTTGCTAATGCCACAGCCATAAATAAATCAAACTGCCTCACCCAGAGTCCCTGCTAAAGGTCCATGTGGACCCCCCGATGCTTCCGGACCAGCTAAGCGGTGAGAAGTGGGCCCTGACCCAAGGACAGCTGACCCACGTACCAGCCAGCAATCAGTGACGCACGGGTGTGAAAGGGGAGCTCAACAAATCAGCGTCTGTCTTACTCAGGAATCTGGGTTAAGAAACAAAGTTAGAAGGAGAAGCTGAAATACTTGGAGAGAACCGTCTTAGGTGTTGGTGGGGCTCACTAAGATGATGTTGTGGCCAGTTTGAAAAGATCTGAGGAAGCTAAAACCGTGAGCAGAAGCTATAAAGAAAGAAAAAGATTGAGAGTGGAGGAAAAAAGAGCAGACTCACAGAGAGAAGCGGACACCATGCGCGAGAGACTTTTGACCCAGGAGACTGAAAACGGGTACTCTAAAGAATGTCCAGCACAAGACCCTCAGAAGGACGCTGCTCTTAGGTTTTCACAGAGCAATTCTCAGCCCCAACCTGCACAACACTTTTTGATTTCAAAGTCAACATGGCCTTCTGTTTTCATTGCTCACTAAATCTTTAGAAAACACAAAGCAGAAAGAAATAATGCTCAATAAAAGGAGAAAAGGATAAACAAACGTGATGTGACTGGTGAAAAAAAGGGATAACACAGCTCTTTGACTGTGTTAATTGGAATGTAGAGTCTAGAACAAATACGTATTCTTCTGTGCTTGTCAGACAAGACCTCAAACATTGTACCCTGTTTTAGAAGCCGTATTTTAAAAAGAGGCACCCTTGATAAAGTAGATTATAAGAAAAAATAAGCAGCAAAGGAGAATGAATCAGGTTCAAAATTAAATAAATGATTTGCCTAAAGTCGTCCAACTAATCATGCAGGAACCAGAATTTCAACCCAGGTGACTCTACTTCTTAGTTTACTGGCTGAATCTCATTGTAACTCTTACTTTTTTGATACTGTACACCTCTTTCTTTCCACCAAATCCCAAATCCTCAGATACTTCAAAGGACAGACTTACATGGTCTATTCTTTGAAACACCTCTGAGGATCTCATGTCACTTCCCCTAATGAAAGTTAGAAAGAAAGATCACTGCAATCTTCCCGAACAACGCAGTGTATTGCCCTAGTCCAGCACATCACAGCCAGAATTCCTTAATTTGACTTTTCTTCTATTTTAGGTAACAACATAACGTTCAAGGCATTAAAGGAGAGCAGGATTAAGAATCTCTGATACACCTCAAAAATAATGAGTGAACAGGATTTTAGAATATTTCCATTTTATTGAAGATTCTATAACTATTTCAGCTGCGATTCTGCTTTCCTTTCCAAATTGAAAACTATCCCTTGGTTTTAAATGTTAATGATTTTTATTATACACATAATCGTTATATATTATTATTATCTTAACTAGTAACAGTAATAGTATATCTGCCACATGTGTCTCACAAGGCTTTTGTAAAAATAACATAAATCTCTGGAAAAGTGTGACTACCACACAGATTCAAGGTCAAGAGCACAGGCGCTGGAGTTAATGAAGACATGGATACAAGACCCAATGCTGCTATGAATTAGCTGGGTGCCCTGAAGCCCTCAGTAAAATCTGTTAAATAAAATTATACAATCTATTTAGAGATAGAGACCTATGTTTCCTCATGCATCAAATCATGATAATAATAGCGCCTGCCTCACAGGGCCATTGTGACAATTAATGAAATAACGCCCCTCAGTGCTTGCCACACAGCAGTTGCTCAGTAAAGATTACATGCTGTGACTATTATTTTATTGATAATGATCATAATACCCAGGCCTAACAAGGATTTCGGGAAGAGCACTCTTTCGTACACTACGGGAAATCATCTGCATAGCGATTTGGCCATGTTGATGTACACAGAGATGCCTTGGTGCCCTTAAAAACAATTTGGAACCTTTGACCCAGGGATAATTCTAGGAATTTATCCTAAGAAACTAACTGAAGAAGTGCATAAAGGTTTACATGCAAATATTTTCATCAAAATACTGTTAGAATAACAAAACTGGAAGCAATCTAAACGTTTAAAAATGATATGTCCCACCAAGGGTTAGGCAGCAAATAAAAATGAGGTTGTAGAAAATTATTTATGGGCAAAAAAAAAAGTGCTTTAAATTCTGTTAAAGAGGGAAAAAGCGATGTGTGTGTTATAATGCCTTCTTAAAATACAGAAGTATGTTACAGCAATATATACATAGAAAAACAGTCTGAAAGCAGATAACGCAAAACCTTTAATTTGTAGGACTGCAGGTGATTTTAATTTCATTCAGTATTTTTAATGTTTCTATAATAAGCATACATAACTAGTGGAAAATATTGTTTTTCTTCTTTTTAAAGCAGTAATATTAATCATGCATTAAATACCCAGTGTGTTTAATCCTTGACTCTCCTCATAGGATTTATCACCAATCTGTTGTATCCACGCTATGACTACCTTGTTTACAAAACCCAGTGTGAGGAAGGGTTCGAAAGCGCCTACCTCCACAACACACCCAAGGGAAGACCAAAAGCCACTGACACAGATGAGCCAAGGAGGGAAACAGATCAGATCATGCTAGTAAGGTCTGCCAGAAGACACTCGTTGGTACGGCTCTCATCCATGTCCTACTTCACACCTGCTTCTCAGACCTATGCTACCCATTTATACCCTTTCTCACATAAAAAGAGAACGATTACACGATCTTCTGCCTCCTCTCCCTACTCCAGACCTCTAGCATAAGAAACCACATGGCACTCTCTTCCCCAGAACCAACTGTAAGAGAATACCACATGCTTCAGAACCACAGACAGCAATACTGCAAACCGTGAAGCTCCAAATGGAATAGTTCTTCTTGAGAACATTATACAAAGTGGAAGAAGCCAGACGCCAAAGGCCACATAGCATATGAGTCCATTTATATGAAAGATCCAGGACAGGCAAATCCACAGGAATACAAAGCAGATTAGTGGTTTCCACAGGCTGGGGGAAGGGGAGAAGGGAGACAGTCTTTCCTTTTGGGGTGTTGAAAATGTTCTGGAATTTGACAGTGGTAATAGTTGTACAACACCGTGAACGTACTAAATGGCACTGAATTGTGCACTGTAAAATGGTAAGATGGTAGATTTTATGTTACGTGTATTTTCCACTGTCTTAGTCATCCAGTGCTGCTGTAACAGAAATAACACAAGTGGATGGCTTTAATAAACAGAAGTTTATTCTCTCACAGTCTGGGAGGCTAGAAGTCTGAATTCAGGGTGCCAGCTCCGAGGGGAGGCTTCCTCTCTCTGTTGGCTCTAGGGGAAGGTCCTTGTCATCAATCTTCCCCTGGACTAGGAGCTTCTCAGCGCAGGGACCCCGGGTCCAAAGGGCGTGCCCCTCTCCTGGTTCTTCATTCCTGGTGGTAGGAGGTCCCTCTCCTCTCTGCTTGCTTCTCTCTTTTATATCTCAAAACAGACTGACTCAAAATACAGTCTAATTTTGTGGATTGAGTCCTGCCTCATTAACATAACTGCCTCTAATCCTGCCTCATTAACATCATAGACATAGAATTTATAACACATAGGAAAATCCCATCAGATGACAAAATGTCGGGCGATCACACAATACTGGGAATCATGGCCTAGCCAAGTTGACAAATATTTTGGCGCGACACAATTCAATCCATAACAACTGCAATAATCATAACTAAAAAACAGTGGTTTTGTTACCTTTGCAAGTTCTCTTCTTAGCTCATCTTGCTCCTCCTCTGACAGGGCCTCTGAGGTACTGATTGTGGCAGCAGCATCTTCCCCTTCCTCCAGGACTGGGTCTGTTCTCAGCACACCTTGTAGGGATTTAAAAAAACAGTCTCTTACATCTGGAAGCTGAGTAAGATTGCCCTATGGGCTACTCCACTGCCCCAGCCAGAATCAAGCCAACCAGGTTAGAGCCCACACATCACGCTTCTGGACCTTCAAGTGATCTGGTTCTTTCAGTAAAGGACAAAAGAGATGTCTGGGCTGTCCACTAAAAACAATCAACTTTCTTGTTGTTAGGTGTCGTTGAGTCGGTTCCAGCTCGTATCATAGCAACCCTATAGGACAGAGTAGAACTGCCCCATAGGGTTTCCAAGGAGCAGCTGGTGGATTTGAACTGCCGACCTTTTTGTTAGCAGCCGTAGCTCTTAACTACATCACCAACATAGACTGCCAAAATATGAGTTTAGAAAAGATGGCAGTCTCTCAGCTTCTGCTCATTTTCTCAGTTATAATACAGGTACGTGCAGAGCAAAAAAGTCAGAGGTCAGGAACGGGATCACGCCAAGGCTTCAAAACGCTGGAAGAGTAAACCAGCATGAATAAGATGGAAGATTTTATCCACTTCACACTCAGAGGAGGAAGGGTATGAGTGCTTTTAGCGTCCTCTGGTTATCAAATCCAACATTTAACAACCTCCTTGGTGAAGGAAGAACTGCTAAATGCAGAAAGAAATTTTATTCCATTTCTTTCCATTAGTCAGTGAAAGTGGGGAACACCTGTACCTCATCCAGACACCCTTAAGAAATCCTAATATGTATGACTCAGTGAAAGGGCCAACACCTATGAAGAAGTTTTCCACATTGTTTGAGACCTCTCCCCAGCCGTGCCCATCCATCTCTCTGGAGCTGAGCCAATGACTAAACACCCATCAGGGACGACACGGGATTTATGGCCAGTGGCAAGGGAGGCAGCTGCCCCTTAGCAACCTCCTCTCCCTTCCTCCCAAGCCCAAACCACAGGGTAGGACGAGGCCAGAGAGTCCTGCACGCTGTCTGTCGCCAGGGCGCAAAATTTAAGGCGGCCCCAAAAATTACTATAAGTAATATTTTAATGCAATATTTTTTTTAAAAAATCAAAATTAATTTTAAAAACCCATGATGAACAAAATACCAAATGTTTAAATAGGACAAGAATTGCTGAAGTTTCCTTTTGTCCCAAGCTCTACAATGGCTCCTCAAAGGCAATGTTACCGATCTTGTCTTTATTTAAAATTTCAATATTTTGTTCATTGTGGATTTTTTTGCATTCATTTTGATTTTTTAAAAAGATTGCCCTAACACGGTATTTATTCTGATTACTGTGCCTGAGTTTTTTGGCGCCCCATTAAATTGTACACCTGAGGTGGGTGCTTCAGAGGCTTACTACTCTAGTGGCTGTTCTGCTCACCCATCCCCAAGTCATAGGTTTAGGATTTCAGAGCCTCCTCTGACAACAGATTCTTCACAATGAGGGCCACCAGGGGAAGGGTTTCCCCTCCCTCTGGGCCCCCTCAATCTTCCTTCTCTTTCCCCTCCTCTTTCTGCCACCGAGTACTGTAGCCATTCAGTTGTCCCCATGACCTCTCATGTCCATTTCTAATGAGGCACTAGTTCAGCCATATCATCAATGCGACATCCCTCCCAAAGCAAGATGCAAGGCAGCTGATTCAGAGAGGAAGAGGGGAAGAGAATGACCACACTGTTCAACACGCAGGCAGCACCATGGCAAACATAAGAGAACCATACGAATCAATGAGATAATGGGTATGTGCGTTATGTACAAGGTACACAAAAGCACTTGGTACCGGGTCTCTAGTATACTAACTGCTTAATGTTAGTTAAGAAGAACAATAATAACATAAACAGCATTACGGTATCAAAACAGTGCCTACCAGGAAGGTGTTTACAGAACTGTTGAAGGCATAAAATTAATACAGAAAATATAACTCAAAACAATTACAAACTGGAGTGGTACACAGAATATGGTCACGCCCTCTACTGCATAGACAATGGACCCTGGGGGCACCGTGGTTAAGCATTCGGCTGTTAACCAAAAGGTCGGCAGTTCGAATCTACCAGCCGCTCCTTGGAACCTTATGGGGCAGTTCTACTCTGTCCTACAGGGTCGCTATGAGTTGGAATCGACTTGACGGCAACGGGTTTGATTTTTTTGTTTGTTTGTTTTTTGGTGTGCCTGACTGATTCAAAAAGAATCTAAGGGAATTCTAGTAATATTCAAGTATGCAGTTAGGCTATCAAGGAAAATAAATATCTCAGCAAAAGGGGCGATGAGGCTGTCCACAGGTGGCTCCAGCACCTCAAGGACAACCTTGTGATTTTGTATTTAGCATCGAAGAAAGTTGGTAGTTACGTGTTCTGTCTTTTCCACATTAGCCTGTAGGTGGCAGCAAATCATCAACATTCAAATTTCAAGGCGAGGTTTGTTTTAGATGGAAAATCTACTGGAAGAAAAATCGAAAAATAATGGACATGAAGGAAGACTAGAACGGCAGGTATCATAATTACCAGCATAACATGATCGTCATGCCTTAGGAAAATTATAATCACTACCACCACGAAGTGCATTCTATTTACATCCAGATCTGAGACGTGTTCCAAATATATTACATCACGTACGTGCAATACTTCTGTGAGGTGAACATCAGTATCACCATGTACAGATGAGGAAACTCAGAAGTTAGGCAACCTGGCCAAGGTGACATGCTAGAGTATATGGTAGAGTCAGGATTCTGAACCCAAACAGTCTGATTTGAAAGCAGACGCTTCAAACCATGGATCTTCACAACTTTCCAAAGTACAAATAAAGAGTAGGAGGCTGAAGGAAGGTATGGAAGGGATCCAGACTTAGAAAGTCTCTAGAAGCAGTCATAAATAAGACTCCCTAAGAAGTAAAAGAATCTCAAAAACTAGATAAAAAACAGTTTCATCAACAATTTTCAACTCTATAGCTTCCCTGAACTTGGAAGTCCAAATTCTGTCTTACATATTTTTCTACATATTATCCTGTTTCCTACCTGCTCAGTAAGACTGCAGTATTGCTTGTGGAGGTTATTAAAATTGGACTAAAGATTCTGGACTTTGTTCTGGAGGCAACGTGGTATCACTGAAGGTTATTGCACAGAACGACAACTGTTTTAGGAAGATACCATTGGCAAGTGTGATGAGGGATAAATCCCAAAGCGGGAAAAGAAAAGTTAAGATGCTTTTATAGTAATACAGGAAGAGTAAGGTAACTGGAGCCTAAACCCAGGCAGTAGCAGAGAAAATGGAGAGCAAGGGGCAGATTTTGGAAGAAAGAACGTTTATGTTTTGGTGACTGAACAGAAAATCTGTTAAACAGGGATTGACAAAAATAGGTCATTGATCCATTTAAGAAGCTTAACAATAAAAATCACCACAGCTATAACCATTACCTCCAGAGCACCATGACCTCCTACCAAATACCAATTTCTGGACCACCTGCTTCACAGTCCTCATCTCTCATTCCTCATAACCACCAAGCAAGAAAGTACTGTTATTTTCACTTGTTAGATGAGGAAACTGAAGTCCAGAGAGCTTAAATTAATAACCAATTAATTAGTCCAAAGGCTTAAATTAAAGTAAGTTCAACTAACTTAAAATAAGTAAAGTTCAGGACTTCATCTTTTTCTAACAGATCTGGGCATTTAAAAAAGGCATAAAGTAACAAAGTCAAAACACAATGGGAGATTTAAAAGACGGACAAGAGATCTGGGCTGAAACAAAATCTTTTAGAGACGAGAAGAAATCTGGCTGTGGGAGAAAAGATACCAATTTCTCATCCACAACATGAAAGCTGGGAAAACAAAAACTTGCTTAAAGTATAGATTACTTAAAACTATAATTTTCAAAAATTTTTTTTAGTTTATCATTAATGTTAACATTCTGATGGAAAGCTGTTTTTAAAAGTTGGAGGAGAAGGGAGAGAAAGTATGACTAATGTATGTCAAGGCCTAAACAGCCACCGTGTGGGGAGATTTACATCTTATCTCATAAAAGCCCAATGACAGCAGTACCATTTATTTTCATTAGGAAACCAAGGCCTTCTGAGGTTCAATAACTTGCCGGAAGTCACAGAAGGGGCTCTGGAAACGGAGGCCGGAGGTCCCAGCCTCTCCTCACAGTGGCTTTTCCTTCACTGAGGGTATGAGACCATGGTTGGGGGGCGGGGGGGGAACACTCCTGGCTGGACAAGCCACAGATACCATTATCAAGCCCAAGGGACCTAAACTGGTGGTAATAAGCTCCATCAGCTTATGACCATTTCAGCCCCTTGCTCAATTCTTCTAGTTGTGCAAACAGATGGTCAGCCTGTTTCCACTCCACACACGTGATCCTCCTGAAGAGTGTAAGTGGGGAATGACATGTCTAGACTTGCCTTTTGGAAACTCCCTCCAGCAGCAGGCTGGAAAATGGCCTGGACTAGGGAGCACCTCAGGAGCCCTTATGGCACAGTGGTTAAGCGCTTGGCTGCTAACTGAAAGGTCGGGGGTTTGAACCCACCAGCCGCTCCATGGGAGAAAGATGTGGCAGTCTGCTTCCACAAAGATTACAGCCTAGAAAACCATGGGGCAGTCCTACTCTGTCCTATAAGGTCACTATGAGTCAGAATCGACTTCACGGCAATAGGTTTAAGGGGAGAGCCTGTCAGGGTGACTGCCAGGTGCCCAGGCGAGAGTGCCTGAATTCCACAGCCGTGGGAGTGAGGAGGGAGAAGATGGGACCAAGAAAGGCAACACTGGGCTCCATCAACTGTAAGATTTGTTTTTGTTTTACATTTTACATAGGATATTAGTCAGCTAAGCAGAAGGTATGGCATAATTGCTTAACCTTGCGAGTGCACTTCGAAATTTGAAAAATAGCTGTCAGTGGCTTAGAAACTCCTACATCTGAACACAGATCTCTCCCCTTTAAGAAAGACTGCATCACAGACTTTGTGTGTGAGAAAAATAAATAAAACGGACATCGATTACTCGCATTTGAAAAGCAGAAGTTAGACTCTGAATGTG